CCCTAGCCGGCCGAGCCACAGGCGCCGAGCCATTCAAGAGTTTTTTATTCTTAAATAAAACCTTCAGTACTGTGATCTTACCAGTGATACTCATTATTCATTCATTTAAAAGATTTAATTACACATATATTTCTTTATTTGGTGACAGTGGCACATTAGTGAGGATTATCTTCTATTTATTTTGTAGCTCTCATATAAAACTTCTAAAAAGAAGTGCAATCCTGTGAATTTTCCAGAGCTAGTCTCCTTGAAACTGGTGTGCCATTCCTCAGGGTTCAGAGAGAAGTCAGTGGCCTCAGTGTCCCCTCTCAGCGTGCCCAGCATGAAACTTATCCGCAGAGTGAAGAGTGGGGCCAAGATGAAAGGGATGGTCCTTCTAAATTAAACTCAAGCATTGCTTCAAGCCCTTTAAAATGACTTTTAACAAATTCATTAGAATGTGTTTCTGCTATTGGCAGATACAGAAGATCACTGAGCAGGTCGACATCTCCATGGCTCTGTCTGTGCAGTGCCACCAGTTTTTGTGTACTCAGGGTGGAACTGGCACTGGCCCGTTAGACTCCTAGTTTGCACCAGCCCACTTCATTTTTTTTTAAGTTGCAAGCAGTAGGGGGCACTGTTGAGCTGCCGGTTTGAGGGCCCAAGATGCTAGCCTTTCAGGAAAATGCATACAAATGTACCATTAACTGTCAAGAATTATCCCTGTTGCTTCAAGTTAGCTGCAATCTCCAAGATTCCATAACACAGGAAATCAGTTGCGGGTTAACAAATTCAACAGCAATTTAACATAAAAAGTGCAGTGTTTGGTGTGCATTTGGATTCTCTAGAATTAGACTAATCTAAGTGGCCTTGCTGAATGTGTTCATTTTGCTTCCAGGGAATATATCACTCAAAATTATTATCATTTCAGACAAATTATTCTTCGTCTTCGTGCTTTTCCCCCACATTGTAAAGTCACGTATGTGTTGTGGAAAGATTTCTTTAATCAATGCTTTTTGTCTGTTCTGCAACATAACAGATCGATCTCTTTTGGTGAGAAAATAAAAATCCTCAGGCAATCGGTGCATTACTTTCCCCCTTTTGCTTGTGAGTAGAGCCTCAGCCCTTGAAGGCCCTTGTGTGGGAGAAGAGACTTGCGTTGTGATTTCTCCCTGTCTTTGTGGTTGGAAGGTGTAGTCTCAGGAAGGATCTAGAAGAAGGGAAAATGAGCTTTGAAATCGCTTTTCCTCCATTAATGGTAATTGCTTCACATGTCATAACCAGTCACATATTTCCAAAAAGTTGAGTCAGCTGCCTCTGAGCCCCCCCAGTCCTCTGCTCCCAGCAAGCCCTGTTTTTATCACACTGTTTATGCTTTCCCATTTCCCTCCCGGAGGGCGGTTTTGCTCTGTGCATGCTCTTGTGATGTAAATGTTAAGCCTTATATTTGAATGACATTCTGATAAAATATCACATTTTCCCTGAATATTACCTCATGAATTTATGGGCCATTAAGCCCAAAGCAACATAACCCTTTCTTATAATCCAGGAGTTTAGGCTAACCTTTCTCCTCCCCTTTGCCCCCCATTCAAGGAGGTATTATAACACTATATAGCACTTTTCCAGTATTTGTATTTTCTTTCTTTTTTTTTTTAACCAACCCACCCCCCTCCACCCCCTTCCACCCAAGATTATTGTGTTATGAGGAGACTCTTCGGGATAAGAGAGAGTTACCATTTGAAAGAAACTGTACAAGCTTTGCTTTCTGGGTAAAGAAAAACGTGAAAAGCTGAAATCTCCCGTGAGGTGAGAAAGTCTTGCTGTAGCCAGAGATTCGATGGATAGGACGTCTGTCTCTCAGGGTCTGATATCGCTCTTTGCAAAACTGACATTTATTTTACCTATAAAAATGTTTTAAAACTATCAAATTCACAGCCATACAGAAAAGAATGCTAGGTGTGAAATCCTCTAAATTGATGACATTTATTCATTTCCTTTTGACCTTAAAAAAAAAAAAAAAGGTCAATTTGGTATATAGTCCAGTGGAAATATGCTACAATAGTTTCCAGGGTAAACATTTTCAAAAGTACTGATGATTTGTGTATTAGAGAGAAA